AAAATATTTATCTCAGGCTATTAGGATTATCGAACACTAACAGTTTTTTTTTTTCAAAAATATACCTTTTACCTCCCTGTTATATTTTGGAATACCCTCATTTATAGGTATAAGAAAAAAATATATATCAGCGTAAACTGATATCCAAAAATATAACACTAAAAACTGAAAGGATATATCTATACCTTGAAGTAGAATGAGAGCGACGTTTAAAGTTTTGCTGCCGGTAGACAGTAAATTATTTTAGTACTTAGAAGTAAAAACATAATTACGTATTAAGTACCTGAGAAATAGCAAATTTGTTATTGTATAAAGCGAGTTTATACATTTTGGCCCTTGGTTGTCTTTGCTTAAATTTAGATTATCAAAAACAGGACTCTTATAGATTCTTAAACATTAAAATTTATCATGTTTACCTCAAAAATTAAAACTAAATAACATCTAAAAATGTATGTAAAAGGGTAGGGCGCAAGTATTTACTGCAATACTGTTTTTATTTGGTTGAAAATTACCTACTAGCTACATATCGTTGTAAATAATATTGTAATTTAAGTACATTTTTGTATATGTATAACTACTTTTTGTAATGGTACATACACTCTTTTACATTAATTGTACACATGTCTAATGTTTACATAAATAAATCTATGATAATATTTCTAAATTGAGATAATAAGAAAACAAATATGTTTATGTTTTATGAAATAATTTGGAACACAGAAAAATAATAAAAATACTAAAAAATTAATCACTTTATTAACTAATGTTTTATTTTTAGATCTACCAAGCAAGTATATGGAGATAATGCCTTTTTCCATCTGCAACTTAAGAGAGAAGGAGATACTTGCACAGTAAAGGGACAAATTACACCTGAACATAAAGTACGGCAAAAACCTTATGATGTGGTTGTTGTAATTAACAAAAATTTAATTTTTAGTGCGCAATGCTTAGGATATGCTGCATCTCAAGGTTTGTAATATTTATTACGCTTTTTTGTTTTTATATCACATATAATATACATTGTATAAGGCCCTATATTCCTATAAATATTTTTTTCTAATTTTGACATATTATAAAGATACATTTTTTGTAATCGCAGCAAGTGTTACAATGATCTAGAAATAGATTTTGTTAGTGAACCTAGTAATAATTATGATGCCAAAGAATGCTGCAGAGCACCTATGAAATTTTGAGTTAAAACCTATGCCATACTTTTAGGCTATTTTTACACCCTTTTCAAAAATTTTATGCTCCTCGTTTTCTGCAAAACTCAAAATGCTCTGATAGCTTCGAACGAAGTCAGCAGAGCACCTCTGTTTTTTAAAGTTTTTTCTGTAAAAACAGCAACACCATATTTTTATGCACTTGAAATATCAATTTTTTTGGAAAAAAAAATGATGTTTTTAAAAAATACACGGTGTTTGTTAACCTTCGAAAGAAGCCAGCAGAGCAATTCGGTTTAGCTGTTTAAAAACTCTTCATTATAATCCCTGAAATGTGATAATTAGGTAAATTAAATTAATATTTACTCTTACAAAATAGGTTCTTGTAAGTTAACAAGCAATTATGCAGATATTACTAGGTAAATGCACTTGCTTAAAATTTACACAGGAATGTGGTTTTAACATGTGAAATTCCCTAACCCTTCTTAATAACTCTTTCCACATGTATTCTTAGAGATGCTATTCTTTTACTTAATTGTACATCTTTTGGAGAACTTTGATTTGCTCGAAAAGTTAAAATTTTATAAAAAATTACATTAGCTGTTTAAAAACTCTTCATTATAATCCCTGAAATGTGATAATTAGGTAAATTAAATTAATATTTACTCTTACAAAATAGGTTCTTGTAAGTTAACAAGCAATTATGCAGATATTACTAAGTAAATGCACTTGCTTAAAATTTACACAGGAATGTGGTTTTAACATGTGAAATTCCCTAACCCTTCTTAATAACTCTTTCCACATGTATTCTTAGAGATGCTATTCTTTTACTTAATTGTACATCTTCTGGAGAATTTTTTTCATTCTGTGATACACTAGGTGGCCTTACTAAAGTGCATCCCATGTTATCAAGTAATGGCTGAATATTCTTAAACCCCCTATCTGCCATTATATGGGATCCAGGAACCAGTTTGTTTAAATACCCACATTTTTCTATTATTTCTTTATCACTAATTCTTCCAGAAAATTATGAATAAATTCGCTATCTTCAAAACTTTGAGGAGACTCTGGATTTTCTTCCAGAAGTGTTTTTAGGTTATACACTTAAGAATTTATAGTAGCCTCATTTTCAATTTCCTGAAGGGGACAATTAGCAGAAATTGCTGCTACATTTTGAATATCTGGTGTATTTTTATTAAAAAGTTGACGAGAAACATCGTTAGTAGAAGGTTGATTTTCTTCTTTTCAAATTTCTAGGAACACTAATAAATATTTTTGAAGATGAATGTGAATCATTATCACATTCTGGAACAAAACACTTTTTCGTAGTCATAATATTTATAAAAAGTACAAAATTAAACACTCAAATTCGAAATAAATTCATGATTGAGACACTATGACAGATGACACATACAGTGCTGCCATTTTGCCATTTTCTGAATTATTAAGTCTTTTAAAACAATGAAACTTTAAATACGGTAAAAGTTTAAACAGAAATAAAACCTTTGATATTATATATTTAAAAGATATTTGTTTAACGATGTTTTAGAAGTCTAAAAGTAAGAAGGAGTACACAAACGAACGTACATCACTTCTCGTAAACCTTCCAACCAGCAACTTCGTGGCGCTAGCTCCTATTGGTCTATTCCCGGTGACGTCATAAATTTTAAAAAATTCATAACTCTGGCAAATGAATAGATAAAAAAAAATTTAGGTTTATTTTCAACTCTACTATTCATAAAAAAATTTCAAAATTTTTGAACATGTCCCATTGCCGTAAGAGTCACGGACCACGATAACACAGTGTCTGTGCGTTAGACGTCATTCAGGTCTTATTTTGAATCTTCACGATAGGCGTGTTCGTTATTAATTTCAGTCCGTCGTGTTCAGAATGAACGGTGCGTGTTAGGGAGTTTGTTTTCGCGGTCAGTTTTTGTATTGATTTTTGTTAAGAGATCAATTCTCAATATTGTTTATTGTACACATATTTATTTTAGTCGATTTCTTGGTATCTGGTAGATTAGTCTCTCGTAAATGGTCTCTAAGACTTATTGGTAAATTATCGGTCCTTTACGGATGCTGTCTGAACACACTTCTTTGGTCAGGTTGCTTTCGGCAGCTGAAAACAAGCGATCTTTTGATTATCGTCAACTAACAATTTAGGATAAATGATAAATTAGAAAGTTTTAGGTAACTTCCATTCAAAGATAAAATTGGAAACATATCGGAAACTTCACGATAAATGAATCAAATCAACATTGCATATACGCATATAAAGCAATATTTATTTAAGCAAAAAAATTGATTGTGGACGTTTAATTTCAATTTCAAGCGTACGAACTCAATATACATCTAACCAAATTTTTCATCAATAGAGGGATATGGAAAGCAAATATAGGTTAGGTCGTTTGTACAAAAAAGCAATAACGTAACATTAACGTTAGTTAAACAATATTGTTTGCCACATTTCTATTTGAAAATGTACTTCTCGATTACAGGAAATAACACATGAATTCTGCGTAGTCAGGACTGTCGCTTGTATGCGCATTGGAGAAAATTAAACACAATTATGGTTGGAAAAGCCGGAACATTTTACTATTAAATTTTTATCACTTTTGATGAACTGGACGGTAATTGGGATATTATTCGTTGTGATAATTTCGATCTTTTAATATTTGAATTTAATTATGTAGTATAATATAGTTATTTGTTTAAAACCCCTTACCACACATACTGGTTTATATTATAGCATTAAATAAATAAATGAATTTTTCATAACCTAATAGAGATAACAATAATAATAAATGCCACATGTAAGAACTTTTAATAGGATTTTTTAAAATGGGTTGTTCTGTGACACTTTCGTTCAGGTACTGTAAACTCAGTTTTGGTATTTTACATCTGTTTAGTGCAGTTATTAGGACAATTATTTATCTTCGTAGCCGAAACACAAAACTAAACTTTGTAACACAGGCGAAGCACCTAGGTCTTGCCTTCACAGCAAGTTAACATGGAAGTCACACCTAGAAAACAAAGTGAAAAAATATATTGCTCATAAACAATGCTGATAAACCGCGAGGTGCACTTGGGACAGTGGCGGCTGGTGCAGAAGTGCTGTAGAGCTACAGAACTGCCAAAAAATGCAGGTATCTCATCTACATTTCACAGAAAGTATTTTAGACATTCTAAAATATGCGTAAAGTAAATTTTAATTAAATTGTAATTATTAAATAGTATCCTTAGCGCCAGAACGTATCCTAGTGTCATTTCATAGCTGGGAATAAGTCCAGACCTTACCCTGGAAGACAAAACCTCATCAGGTTATATTAATCTTAGCTGGGTTGCTTCAGGACGGTCTGGGCACGGCTTGGGCCGCCCGTGCTCTTCGCCTTACCTTCTGTGGCCCCATACGTAATTCGAGTTTTGTTTTGTATATGTAGATTAGTTGTGTTAACTCTTCCGTTTACGCATTTTCGTTTTTAAGATAAAAATCTGAAATTAGGAAGACATACTCTTTTATTTTTTTTTTAAATAATTTGGTGTATTAAAAAAATTCTGTCATCCTTTTTAGAAGGTGTGATTTGTACAATATACTGTACATTGTAAGCAAACGGTATATCTATACAATATATTGCACATTTTGAATCCGTGGTAGTGTATTTGCGATTTTGTAAAATAAAATACAATTAAAAACAACATAAGGGTACAACTAATCATTTATTTGTGTGATATAACAAAAACCATTTTGAAATGCTTGAATGTATATTGCACTTAGTACAAACAAATTTTGTCCTAGAAGTACATTCAGGAAATTTGCATCTGGAAGAAAAATTTTTTTCATCTATTTTCATCATCATCATCATCAGTGCTTACTTCTACGATCCTATCTCCCCACTCATAATCGTCATCACCAAGCCCTTTAATATCTGATAGGCCATCTTCAATTAGTTTTAATAGTTGTTCTTCAGTTAACGGTACTTTTTTACTCATTTTTCTATTAAATAAATCAGAATAACAAAAACTGTAAATAACGTGGAGTTTTTTACCATACATGTCCATTTCCGTTTATTCACAATGTACAATATATTGTATAGTAATATTTACCCCAATATAAACAAAACAAACTAAATTTTCAGCAAGTTCACTATAAAAGTAACAAATACACGTATTGATTATTACCAAAATAAATACTGCAGCAATGTCACAGAATGTTTTAAAGTTTGAAACGCCATCTCATTTCAACATTCTGAAAAAACCGCTAGAACAGTAACATATACCATTAATATTTTTTTTTGTAAACTACTTAACGCTAGATGAAGGAAATAGTTTAAAATAGTAATAAGGATGTGTACAGATTATGTACTTTGTGAGTAAAGTGGATAGAAGCATTCTACAAATTCGTTAGGTTTTACGTAAAGCGATGTACAATATACTGTACACCGTGAGCGAAAGGGTTACTTCACCAGAGCGCGTTTCCATTGTATATGAAAGACATGGATGTAGTTTAAAAGTTAGTAAACAATAAGATATTTTTTTAAATACCCGTATAAGAATATAAGTTTGCTGCTAAAAAGGATCGTATAATAGAATTAATGTTCAAAAAGGAAGCAAAATCTTGCAGATCACCCAATATCTTTAACAACGAGCTGCCATTAACTTGGGGTCTCTTCTTCATAATCATCACACAGCCATCATAAGATACGCTAACGTGCGCCGTAGTTGTCTTGGTACCGAAAATCTAACAATTGACAACTATTTGCAAACTATATCAAAAACAAAGAATAGCATGTCTTAATATAGCAGGAGCAACGAAAACCATACCAAGCAGAGGCATGAAAGTAATTTTTAGTATTAGTCTCCTTGATATTTACATCAGAAAGGCTGCTCTGATGACAATAACATGAATCCGCACGATTGAAATAAGGAAAATTTAAAAATAATGGAATAGTAAGTAGTAACAATTAACACTTTTACTAGACACAGAATTCCCATTGGGTCAGAGAAGTTATTAACAAAAAAAGATGGTCGATACATTTTTGAGTGGGCATAAATGGGATCAGGTCATAGGAGCATATTTCTTTAATGGTCCACTGAATGAAGAAATTTAAAAGGGTTTCTCCAAGAGATTTCTACCACGAGAACTCAACTACTCTAGAAGACATGAAAAATAGAATTAGAGTAGTTTTTCGCTGTATTACAAGATCAACTTTAATTGAAGTCCGAAAAACAATAATTCTAGATAGACTGAATTTGTGCTCAAAATGGGAGACTGTTTCAACATTTGCTGTCAATTTATGTTTATTTGAAATTGTTTGAGTTCATTTTGTTATCTGTTATTTTTCATACTTTCCTTAAGAATTAGATAGATGGAAGTTAAGTAGGCGAATCTTATATTTTCCGCAAGCTCATAATGTAGACTATTCACTTTTCTCAGTTTTTTTCGAATGCAACGCCCTATAAATAAAGCCATACTGTCAGCACTCATTGTTTCCTTTTGTTAACCGACTTCAAAAAAGGAGGAAGTTATCAATTCGTCGCAATATTTTTTTTATGTATGTTCTGCGATAATTCTTTAACACGGTCTCCGATTTTAATGATTCTTTTTTTGTTAGAAAGGGGGTACTTCAGGGGTGGTTCCATATAAATTTGGTCAAAATTTAATAATTAGGTCCATGAAAAAATCCTCAAACTCTTCATTTTTTATGTATGTTTAACGATAATGCTTTACCACCTTGTCCGATTTATATGATTCTTTTTTTGTTAGTAAGGGGGTACCTCAGGGGTGGTTCCATATAAATTTGGTTAAGATGTGGATGGCATCTGCACGTTTTTGAAGTCGGTTTTTTAAATTTTTAATTACTAATACTTGTTTAGTTTCCTAAGGCTAAGAAGGATCCCCTTGGTTGCTATAACTCTCTCCGTGGTGACAGTATCAGTTAAGAAAATGCAGTGTAGACACATCAAAGGTTTTGTTGGTCCAATGTTACTAACCTACTCTTTTTAGTCCAATAATCAGAAAAACGTGCTTTCTTTTTTATTTTGCGAGGTATCTCCTCTCTTATTATATTAGGAACTTTTATTTATAAGATCTTTTGATATTGTTCTACCCAAATTATTAAATATGATTGCTTGCATAGCTGCAACCTACATTTTACCGCGTGTTTGTGTTGTTACTCGATGCCTAGACAAATTCGTAACTTTTTTTTTCGTTTTATACATCTCCACTCCCATCTAAACTATTAATAAAGGAGTTTACAAGAAGTTTCTCGTTCGTCTAACCGGAACTTCTTGTATAGCACTTAACTCGTGCTCAAACATAGGGAGAAAACCGCAGAAATGGTAAGTTTCCCGATATTTCATATTTAGGAAATTTTCACCTGGGTCCTTCTGCGGGATTAGAAGACGATTATTTTGCTTCGGAGCACGGGGATTATTCCAAGTAGTGCCAACTTCGGAAAAGTAAATATTCCTGAGAGTATGTGATGCTTTTAGCGAGACTTTTTATCTCGGTTTTAGATTTAACTTTCAGAACAGAATACAGGTACTTGTGTGTGGCCCAGATTTTATTTTCTATGATCTCGTGTTGCAACCTTAGAGTTTTTTTCTTATATACAGGGTGTTACATTTACAATGGAAAATCCGTTAACTGTAGATATTACGGATTAAATAATGACCATTGCTCAGAACATGTCTTATCCGAATGTTGATGGTTTACAGTGTAATTCAGTGATGGAATTTGCCAGGTTTCTCATAGAGGGTGCTATTTATAACCCATTGCTTTGATAAATTAAATTATTACTTTTTATGTTGAACAATCCAACAACTATTTTAAAATATTATACTTCATATTCTTTTTTCTTGTTATCATTCATTCTAGAGAATTACAATTTATTTTGTTACCAATGCTTAATAAGCAATGGGCTTGTAAAAATAACTTAAAAAATAGAGTATTTTTGTAACAAAAAAATCATATAGTTGTCAATTTTTAAGTATAAATAATTTGATATGTAAATTAGTTTTTATAATATTCCTACAGAAAAATTATAACATCTACATTTCAGCTCATGAAATAAAATTGCTTTAAGATACTCGTTCGATGGTCGCTGCAGAGACTGCAAGCGACTTAAACAAGAATGAGGCAAAGACACTACCGTTGTACTGAACGTAAATGAGATGTCGTTCAATGTAAGAGCAGCAGCGCAGGCGACAGCACCTAGTAGCTTTACATTGATGAATTCTGCCACACTACAGACTGCCGCAATACTGGCACTGACGGAGATGCGCGCCCAAGCAACCGATACAGTGCAAGATATTTTTTAAACTGTTGACTGGGCTGATTTTGCATTGAACGATATCTCATTTACCTTCATTAGAACGGTAGTATCTCTACCTCTTTCTTGTCTTGCAGCATGTCTTTGCAGCGACCATCAAATAAGTACGTTTAATGAGATGCCGCTAAATGCAGAAGCAACGCAGGTAACAGCAGCAACTAGCTTTACATACACGTCTGCCGCCACGCCATAGACTGCTACAATACTGGTATTGATACAGACGAGCGCCAAACGTTTAAGACAGGGCGAGATATTTATTAAGTTAGTTGCTGCTGTCTTCTGCATTTGGACGTCTTATTTACTTTAATGAGAACAGTGCCTCTGTCTCTTTCTTGTCTCTGCCGCTTGCGGCGACTATCGAACGATTACCTTTCTAGTATTATGGCGATTCTATATATTGTTGATTTGCTTCACCTTTATAGATCTGGTCACATACATGCAATCTTTCCTTAGGTCCATATAGATAGTAATTTAGAAATGTGATAGAAATCCACCGATCTTTGCCCAGAATGCCTCATCAGCAAAGTGAGCGCTTTGCAACTTCACGTCGATGAACCCGAGGTTATACCTAAATACTGTTGACGTGAGAATTGATGGTCTTTTTATTTTATTCGTATAACGATAAACATTGAATTACATACTTTTTTGAAATTAATAAAGATCCATTTTTGTACATCTTTTAACAAATAAAGTTTGTTTTTATTAAACCTAAAGTATTGTTGATTTAACTGGCTCCGCTGCTTACAGGATTCTTCGTACGTACTCTCATTTGCTGGTTAACTCAATTGTTTAACGATTTACTAGCCGATCCTAGGATGAAAGGAAGAAGTAGCATGCAGATGACATCTTCAGTGATCATCCTGTTGTAAGTTCAATTTTCCTTTATCCTTTTCATGAGCACTTTTGATATTTCCGAAGAACTTACACGTAATATTAGCTGGTCTCAATTTAGAGTCTACCTACATTTCTGCTCTAGCGAATAGTTCTCCACCTTCTCAGAATCCTTCTGAAAATCTTCAAAACGTTCTACGCCCAGAAATGTTTATGACTAATAGTGACATTGCTAGCCTTTGTGCTACTTTACCTGATTCTTCTACGGGAGATAATCTCTCCATATTTATTAAATCAGTAAAAAATTTAATTTAATTCTTAGCCAATCAAAATCTCACTAAACCACAAGAATGTATTTTAAATGCTAATATTGCTTCTTGTATCAAGAGTGAACCTAGTGTAGAGACTATTTAAATTTTAATAATAAAACAGGTTGGTCTGAAATGCGACCTGCCCTTTTGGCAAAATACGGCGACAGACGTTCTAAAGATATTTTAGAGACAGTTATTCAAAACGATACAAAAAACAAACAAGACATATGAGGATTATTACCAAATAGTTTGCTACAATTTATATGATTTACTATGTACAACACATATCACTAAATGATAACCATGAAAGATTAAATTTCAAATCTCCTTATTTTAAAAGCCATTGCCCTTAAAACTTTTTGTACAGTTATAAATAAACCATATTGTGAATATTTGTCGCATTTTAGAATTAAGTCTTAAAAAGGCACTTCAAAAAATGCATTACTTACGATAATCATAAGAGTCAACAATACATGAATTGAAAGGTTAGCACAAACCAATATAAAGAATTAATCCCATTA